GGGTTGAGCATTGCAGAGGCTCCCCAGTTAAATCTGTAGGCCATGCCAAAAGCATTGAGGGGAATGCCCAGTCATTAACTCACAATAACGGTAATAAAATATTTGTGTGTAAAGCCGCAGGGGTTGGGTTCTGGGGGTGGATGAAATTTGCCTAGAACGTACTTGATGTTTATCAGGCTGTTTTGATTGAAACCACTGTGTAGTCTTGCATAAACCTTGCAGACGGTGCCTCTGGATTTGCAGACTGGCGTATTGTGGTCTGTTAAAGAAGGGTGTGTGCCTGTTACCAGGTTATCCCTCTCTCCACCTTCTCTGGTAGACACCATGGCAGGATACTGGAAGGGTGACCAATAGGTGTGATTGAATCAAAGAGAAACTATGTAGGTAGTAACACACCCTCTCACTAGTGATGGAGGGGAGTCTGGGAGGTTGCCAATCCAGTCTACATGTTTTATAGACTTGGAGAAGGCTTATGACGTGGTTTCTCAAGGGATTCTATGGGAAGGTGCTTTGGGAGTGCACTTTCACATCCCGTCTGCAGCGTTAAACGAGACGTGTTAATTGTGGTTGTTGGACTTTGCCAAGGCTGTACTTTGTCTCCACTCCTGCTTGTGGTCTTTAGAATGTAGGCTTCCAGGCAAAGCTATAGTGAGGAAAGCATCTGACATAAGGATCAGTAGGTCACACCTCTGCTTTTTACTCACCCAAAGGGCTGAAAGAACAAGACTGAGACTACAGGTGGCTCAATTTTCTTTGCCAAAAACTCTCTATAAGTGATTCCTCAGGAGGAGCTATCTGGAAATAGTTTGCTCAGGGTACTGCTGCTTCCCATGTAGTTATGGCAACTCTTAATTGGATGAAGGAGTTGGAGGATGGATGTGTGGATGAATATGTAGGAGGACAAATTTCATTTTCTCATCAACATTGAGCTTTGTTGAGTTCCTTTCTACACTTTGGACTCTCCTGCCTGACAGAACCCACGCTCAGCTCCTCCCCCCGTGTTTATTTATTTGATGTTTTTTCAGGCTAGAATCGGAGGATCGCAGCACTTACAACAATCTCATTAGAGAGACTTTACAAGCTGGAGGTGTGTGAAATTCAGAGCTTGTGAAGAGTGACGGTGATTGTCAGAGCGAAGGCGGCAGCCACCCTTAGAGAAGTTTCATGAAATTAAATGAAGCCAGTGCTTTTGCAAAGTGTGACAGTCGTTTCAAACCAAGGGTCCCAAAAACCCAGCCCGCCCTTTATGTTACCCCTCTGGGAATCCTTTGATTCCTCAGCACTCGCAACATCAATCACTTCGCTTCACAAAGACAGAAAGACTTTGCTGATACCCTCATTTGAAGTCTTTGGGTTAACTAAAGGAAATAGTGCGCTCAGTGGCTGGCAGTTCATTTGTTTGCATGTAGACGTTGAGAAGGTCAAAGCTGCTGTCATGTTGAACTTTAGAGTGGCCGTTTCCTGGAATCAGGGCATATCAGAACTGGCAATCCTTTCATTCCGTTGTGTCTTGTGGGTGTCTGATCACACACATTGTAATCCTTCTAGTGTTTCAAAATCTGTAAAATATGGCTCCACTTAGGTTTATGTACATTTTTACTTTTTCTAATGACTGTGTTTGGATGGATGGCTGGATGCCACTCCATCCTGATTGATGTCCTTTGTCTCCCCTTCTCGCTGCACAGCAGCATCAGACCTAACTGGCTCTCTCGCTGCTATTGTCTCTGTGCATCAACCATTCCAGCGGTTTTCCCCTCTGTTTTCAGCTGTCGTTCGGCCCCTTTTATTTTTCCATAAGAAGCCTATATAGGTATAATTGTAGCGTTGCCTTCCTGCTCTGTGGCTAGTTGAGTGCTGCTTATGCCACTTACACAAGGGTCTGCAGCTTTTTCCGGCTGTGGTTGTCTTGCCGTTCCCTTGAATGGATCTCATAGGGTCCTAACTCTTGCTCCTTTGGGCCTGGACTTTAATTAAATGTTTTGTTGTCTATACATTTCCTTGCTGAAGAGTCATATTTTTCAGTCTTTTGCTAGTCATTTCCTCAGTCATGTTACAATGTAAACATCAACTGTCTGAATTCATTTCACTATACTAGATCTTTTTGGAGACACCATCATCTGTTACCTCAGTCAGCCCTTTAGTGCACCACGCACACACACAAAACCCATGCATTCACTCCCCAGTACTTGTTAATAATTAATTAGATCGTTGGAGAGGAGAGTGATGTGTCTCGGGGAGCATGCGTGTGCTCACATGCTTTCCTCTGTGTTCAGGAAGAATGTGACCGAATGTGATGTGTACCAGATGTTTTAGAAATGAGGTGGGTTTCGCTGGAACGTAATGCATTCCCAGGGATGTTTGTGGAAAGAAATTCTTCCTCATCTGTCGAGCATGTTCTTTACCCCCCCCCCCACACACACACACACACACACACACACACACACACACACGATGGCTGTTTTTAGTATCATGTGCATGCTCACTTGTGTCACTTGTGTGTCTTTCAACACCATAAAGCTGATTGTCGGTTCCTTTAATTTTGTCCATGCAGCATGTCAATAATATGGCTTTCTCCTTCTGATTTCTTGTGGTAAAATTCTTTGAGCTCAAACCAGACTCAGATTCAGACTGATGCTTGACATGGTGCACGTTTGAGTACGTGCGGCATGGGGGAGAGGAACAGGCAGTTCTGCTGCAGGCTTGAATGGCACAACCTGCAGCCCTCTCACCTTTAACATAAGAACTAACCAAGCCAACTTCTTCAAAGTGAATGAGGGGCAGGAGCACAGAAGCCTGAATCAAATACATGTGAAGCATTGCTTAGACCAGTCTGTTGCTACTATCACAGTTTTTAATGTATGCAGTTACATACAGTTTTTTTTTCAATATATTAGAAAGATTTTAAAAAGAGTTGACTACATAAGAGAAAACATGCCAACATTTACACTGTCCTAGCATGACAGTTCAGCACCACCCCAACTGTCCTCTAAAATTTGCTTTTCTTTTTTCCTTATTTTTCTGTACTTTTAAAATTTGCATTTGTTAGCAGTTATAAATGCCAACACTAATATACTGGCTATTAGTTAACTGAAGCCCAACCTTGATGTTGGGGCTGAAATATTGGTCGGGCTTTACTTTTTAAACAATACTGAATTTGATGACATACATAGAAGTAGTATTTATTTTAAATTGCACTGGAATGCATTAGTTTTAAGTAGGTTTACATAATACTAGGATTTGAGAAAACAGTTTACAACATTATATTTGTTATATTACAAGGAATTCTTCCTTCCCTTATCACCCTACTGGTTGCGGCAGATGGCTGCCCCTCTCCAAATCTGCTTCTGCTTCTTCCTGTTAAAAGGGAGTTTTTCCTTCCCACTGTCACCACGTGCTTGCCCATAGGAGGTTGCATTGGGTTGCCTCTGTATTATTGTTGGGTCTTTACCTTACAGTATAAAGCACCTTGAGGTTAATAGTGTTGTGAACTGAATAGAATTGAATTAAAGGAACTTTATGGCTTCTCAGGAGCCATACTTAGTATCTCCTCAGGTGCTTTTGAGGACTTGAGTTTCATTTTGTCTGCTCAGAAATGTAATTGTACTGGCATAAAAACATGTATATACCATTGATAACACAATGTGACTAGCTCTGCACTCTGTACACCTTTTTACGCAGTAAGAGCAAAGCATCCAAATAAAGTTACAAGCAGCAAAACAGATTCTGGAGTAGACTGAACTTTAAATGACAACATTTACCCTGTGTAGTGTTTAATTAACAAAAAGAGGCAAAAGTGAGATTAGTTACTTTGTGTCATACTTTGCATCAGCTAACCATTTCTTTTTTTGGCACAATTTCTTCAAAATAAAACTAACTTGGCGCACTTCCCTCTGTACTAATAGTGACTGACTGAATCATAAACCAGACTTTCACTGTTTTATGTTTGTATTACTTTGGTGTAATGTATCATCCCTCTTTGAACCCATGACTCAGCCACATCAGTGTCCAGACCAATTAGGGGCAGCTTCTCAGAAGGGCTTTATTCCTGAGAAAAGCAAAACTATTTCCATGTGCCTGACTCACCGGCTGCAACCGTGAGCTCCAGACACCCAGGTGGTTACTGAGCTTCCTAATCCATCCACACTTGCACAAGAGGGAGTAAGTGGCTCTGCCTCATCACCTCAGCAACTGCCACCAAGGCTCTCAGAGTACAACAGTACTATCGAGTCTGCACAAATTTTGGAAGGGAGAAAGAAAGACTAAACAAACACTCACTCCTGCAGCTCAACATCATGTTATAATGAAAAGTGCAATGTGGTGTTTTTTTATTATTTCTGTTTGTTTTAATGACACCAAATCTTAATTGTGCTGAAGTTTCAACTTTAAACCTCCAGCAAGGGAGTTGGTTTCTCTGCTGCTGTCGACATGTGCTATAAATACGCAGTCTAATCAAAGGAAAGATTGTTTGTGTAATCTGTACCAGCCTTGGCTTGTGTTTGGCTCACAGCTGTAATGTAGTCGTTCTCAGCACACTGTTTTCCGACTCGAATCCTAAACTAGACGAATCGTTCCCTGCGGCCTACCCATGCACATTCCTGCCACTTTTCTAACCAGGGAATTAAAAGAAAATGCATAAAAATAAAAAAAGATATCCACAGTTTCAGATGGAAGAAAAAACCCTTAAGTTGCAAAGTTGTATATTGCAAACCAGACCGGAACACCTCCAGAATTCTTTGTGTATGGGGGCCACTAAAAGTCTTGGGGCAGCACACTAAAAACAGAACAGTGCAGGGGCACAGCAGAGGGGAGGGTGTCTTCCTCTCTCGTACTCAAGTTTATTAAAATTGTTACCAACATAGGACAGTCTTGCCAGGGATCAGGGGCCAGCAAATTTTGGGGGGTGGCCAGTTTCCCCCTTGGTGATGCCCCTGAAACCTGATCTTGTTGGGATGAATATTAAACATATATCTAATGCTTGACTTTTTGCTTTTGTTTTTCAGTCCTCTGCGCAAAAAACCTGGTGAAGAAGGACTTCTTCCGTAAGTATCTATTGCCTTTTATTTATCTTTTCATCATAAACCTTTTAAACCTTATTCAGACTTTCATTTAACCAACAACCATGGGAATTTGGTATGAAAGTGAAAGTGGTATGAGGACACTTTGGGCTGACAGAGAGGCCACTGTTTGCAGCTATGCTAGTATTTAAACAGTTTCATTTCAACAGATTTTCTCCAAATGTTTCTAATATGCAGTGTGTTTGGTAAATTTGTCTCGTATCGTAAAATGCCTTTAAAACCCTATAAGTGTAAGTTTTGTGCAACTGTTGCTTACTAGGTTCTTCAGCGTAGGTGTCAGCAAGTGTCACGTTTTGGTGTGTTTGGGTCAGGCTGTCATGGTGAATGAGCGTTTAAGACCCTCTGCTCGCTCAGGAGCTGAGCAAACATTCAGTTACGTGGAGAGTGGTGCTGCGAACATGGATGCATATACAGACTTGGCTCTCGTGGTGTATTACAGTGTACTTATGTGAACATGCTGATCCAAGCTACAACTACTTTATTTGTAGATAGGAAAACATCAATCATAGAGGCCAGGCGCTTTTTGTGAAATAGTCACGAAAAAGTCTGTTTTGTGCTCAGGCACAATTTTGTTTTTTTGTTGGGTTTTTTTTCATGACAGAATGGCTTTAACATGTATTTCATGTCTGCAGCTTGTATTTTGCCCAGACAAAGCAGGGATGTGTCTCATGTTCACAAGTGAGGAGTCAATCCAATTGCAGGATGGGAGAGGCTCTCTGGAGAGCAGCTAAAAGACAGGGAGTGCCACAATAGCAACCTGGCCAGTGAGCCAGCCAGTAACCGTAGCTGGTTAGCAGCAACTGAACTTTCAAAATAAGAGGACGGAAGATTTTCTGTTACTAAGTACATGACAGTTCTCTAAGACTGATACAAAATACAAGTCTCAAATCTAGTCATTGTGGGAAAGCTGCTCACCATCTGCGCTGCTATCATGCTACTCTGCTACATGTGCTGCAGACAGTACTAGACTGATGTAAAGAGTGCAGCTGGAGCCGGTAAGCTAAGTAAACGGTGTTATGACACTATTTACAAATTCCTCTGATCTTTGTTTTCTCCCTATCAGAGAATTTTGGAGAACATATACAGCAGGGATGCCAAACATAAGGCCCGCGGGCCAGAATTGCCCCCGGCAAAGACTCCAACCTGGCCCGCTGGCCGTGTTTGTAAAATGTTAATACATTTTACAGCTTGTGCTACTAATAAAGAACACCTCCACCGTCTTTCATACTACACCAAAGTAATAATCAATTAAAATAACAGCTTTTGGGTTCCCCGGTGTTTTTACAATTTAAGTCCAACGAGTTGTGTTGATAGATTTATTTAATTAAATAGAGCAGAATATATTTAGCTGCGCTTCTTTCTCTTTTATTGAGATATCGTAGGGATTAAATGTGCAGCTAAACTTACGCAGACAGAAAGTGGATTTTTACTTGTCCGGCCCACTTTAGATCAAAGTGTGCTGTATGTGGCCCCTGACAAAGAATAAGTTTGACACCCCTGATATACACCAATCAGTGATAGGCTGCTACAGGCTAGTAGCACTGGTCCCACATTCTCAAACTGTTCTGGAGCACAAGAACTGTAATTATCATTTGGACCATTTATACTGTGAATTAATCATTTGTTATGTAAGGTGTCCCGTGCATCCTTGCACTGCAATGCGTTAACACCAGAGGATGTCAGTTGTCATAAGAATAGAAAAAGTTTGTGGAAGTAATAAAATGGTAATCTTTAGCCTGCCTGGACTGGTCCTGCAACAGAAATCAGTGTTGTGTTGATCACTGCATGTGCATTGTCTTTGTGTCTTGTTAAACAGTTTATTCTTGTGCTGCGGTGTGCTCTTTTCTCCCCGCAGGCCTGCCTGATCCATTTGCCAAGGTGGTCGTGGATGGTTCAGGACAATGCCACTCTACAGACACTGTGAGGAACACGCTTGACCCAAAGTGGAACCAACACTATGATCTGTGAGTCTCAGAGTCATTTTTCTTCTTCTTCATTCATTCATTTATTTATTTATTTATAACACTGAATCATTTCTGACATCTGTTTGTAAGGATTTAAAAAGTCTTCTTTGGTTTATTTGAATACCTCCCACCGCCCCACAGACTAAATCTGATTACAAACAGCAGTTTGAGGCCATGCTTGGCTTATTGCAGTGCCTCTCAATTAGTATGCCTTTCTTTTTATAACCTTGAAGTGTGAGACTTTGCCAACCGATGAAAACAGCTCTTGCATCTGGCCTCTCACTTATTTAAATACTGTGTAATGACATAACCCTTCAGTCTAAAAATGTCCCTTGGAACAGTATTTAAGGAATCAGAAAAGGAGGGCCATCTCCAATAGTATTTTCTTCCATTGACTGAAACACGTGCATGTCTTGTTGTACCCCGATTGCCTTTTTCCCAAAGATGGAGTGTCCTGCGAAAGTAACCTGGAAAAAACAGAGACAGAGCGTGAGTGAAAATGTGAGAGTGAAAGTTTCCAGTATTGGCCCAGTGTTTATCCAAGCCGTCATGCGTAGCCAACAGCGAGAGGAAGCACGTGTCTCCGTTTGTTTGGTTGCTGGGGATACAGGACCCTCTCTCTACAAGGCCCCACGCCTGTCGCATTTGACAAGAGGGAAAAAGTCACGCGCACGTACGCACACCTCGGGGATGAATTGTTGGAGCGGAGAACACAGACTCGTGGCTCAGTGGAAACGTCTCTGCTCTAATTTGTCCCGAGAGCCTGCAGATATCGTAGACTGGAATTTATGTGAAAACGACTTGGGTTTTTCTGCACCGGTGATACGTTTACCATGACTGTATCCCGTTTTACTGTCTGTGTTTATTCTCGTGGTGAACAGCAGAAGGACCCTCAGGTGGTGTGTTGGAGGAGAGAGGTTTTAATTGACTGAGAGCAGCTTCTCTGGCTGTCTGGCTGGCTCACACTTATTAAAATAGGGCCTGCAACACCTGGTGTTCCCAAAAGAGCCTAGTGCATTAAAGCTGTTGGCAGTGACTCTTTTTTTCCATTTGTTGTATGTGAGGGTGTAGAAATGATGTGTGTGTGCTGGGTCTTCATTTCTTGGGCATGCTGCAGAGAGCAAACTGGCCCATGGTCTGTGACCCTTCAGCATTGTTGCAGGATGTTGCCAGCATGCCAAGAATAGTAGACGCAGTCTAGCTAGCTGCCTGGGTCGCACAATCCTTCTGCTTGCTCTCAGTTTCTAAAACAGATCCGTAACACTCATAGGATATGACTGAAATAAAGGAAATCTAAGCTGAATAACTCCTGTTGGGGATTAGTAGAGGCAAGGATACTGTAATTATGAGTAATAAAACCGTTCGTCTGGAGGACCTTCATCGTTGTAGTAAGTGACGGGAAGTGTCTTCCTGCATTTTTGCACTCTTTTGTCATGCTGTCACATTTATTCAATTAGGAATCCATCAGATATAGTGTTATTAAATAATACATCTGCAATGTTAAGTGCCCTGTCTAGACTCAAATTTCTTTACACCCACCCGCTTATCCATTCCCCTCCCACCGTCTGAGCTGTAATTCTGTAGAAGCGACAAGTTCAAAAGAACTAATAGCTGGCTATTCCAGTTTCTCAGCTTTCCAAGGTACTACCAATACCGTGCAAAAGTCTTGTGCCACCACTCATTTCTTTAGGTACGGTAATTAATTGAGACATGTGCAAACATACATACTAATATAAAGGCATAAACAGAATTTGTACAATTTTGAGTGCCAATATTTGGTATGATGACTTTTATTCTGAACTCTTCCATCTTGTCATTTCTTTAATAGTCTTCAGGAATAGTCGTCTGCCTTTCTGTTTAAATGACCCCACACTGCTTCAATAATGTTGATGTCTCGGCTCTGGGGAGCAGAGTCCTTGACTGATAGAAAACACCATATATAATTCTCCAGCTATGCTTTTACTACATTGGCAGTGTGTTTAAAGCCTTTGCCAATCAGACACTTTCCTGATTGCATACATTTCTACATTCATAATTACATCAATTTTTACAAGACCCCAACATCGCTGGCTCAAATGCAGCCCAAACCATGACAGAGCCTCCACCATGCTTTACAGATGTACACACACTCCTGACCACTTGTGTATATATTGACTAGAATTTGAATCAAAAATGTCAAATTTGGATTCATCACTTCATCAGACCTGTTGCCACTGATTTTCAGTCCAGTTTTTCTGTAATTTGACATACCTCAGCCTTTTCTCCTGCTGCTTTAAGAATAGCTTCTTGTCAGCCACTGTTCAACTGAGTTTTTTTACTGCAACTTTTTGCGTGTGTCAGATGTTGCTTGTCCTATTTAGCTCTATCCACTGATGTTAGGTACTATTTGACTGGCAAATGACTGACCTTGCAATATAATACATTATTAATTCTATAATAAAAATGGTGTATTCTATTACTTTGAGCTATTTCAGTTCCAAATCTGTCATAATTGCTTGTGTCCTTTTGGTCTTAAAATATCTTAAACATATATTTGCTAACAAAGGACCTTAAAAGATATCGTCTTAAAATCAGTTTTCTGTTTTGCGAGGGTTTTTTTCCCGTTAAATCACTGGGTTAAGTGGTTTTGTTTTCGAGTCCAACTCCTGACTGTTGTTTGTTGCTTTGTTTTGGCTGGGATTTGGTTTAGTACATGTAATACATTGAAAGAAACCCTGAGGATAATGCTGAAAGCCTGCTTGTTTAGGTCCAGTAAAGTCTAACAAGAAATGACTTGAGAGCGATGATTGCACTTTGTGGTTAATGATGTAACTGTTGTATCTGTAGCAAGCAAGCTGTTGTGTATGATGAAATGGTTTGGGTTCCTTAGAATACTTCAATTTAAACTTTTTATATTTGGTAATCAAAGAGGTATTTTATTACTGCCCTTTTTTTAAGAGTCTTTAGGAAACAGATTTATTTTTGTTGGTGTTCGTCCACAACACAAATATCTGACACTGATTCACAGGTCTGGGATTTGTTGCATTTGTATCTCTGATTATGAATTTTTCATTTTGGTGTGTATTTTTTCTTAAACCTAAAATAAAACCAAAGATTCCTCTACTTAATGAAAGGTGTATTAAAAAAGCACATCTGGCTCTTTAAATCTGCTGCTTTTCCTTTAATGCCAGTTTTCCCTGTGTGTGTGTGTGTGTGTGTGTGTGTGTGTGTGTGTGTGTGTGTGTGTGTGTGTGTGTGTGTGTGTGTGTGCGCGCGCGTGCGCGTGCGCCTATGACTGTATGAAAAATCTTAGCCAGACTAATGAAGTTTATTACAAGGATCCAGATGACTTTGGTTTGGTTATAATACTTCCCTCCCGTCATGTCTGTCTGACATAGTAGCGCTCTCTCTCACATCGCACCCCAGACAGGCATTTGGCACTGACTCAAAATGTCCAGACGTCTTACTCACAGCCTCATTGTTTCATATCCCTTTTGGTAAGCAGCATGATAATTACAGTGGGATGCAGTTCTCCGAATCGTACAGACGATTAGTTTTAGACTGAAGGAGGGAGCCCACCCGAGCAGATGTGCCGCAACAGGTTCACATGCTGAGATTTTATCACACTGAGGCCTGACACATGAGGAGGCAGACACGATAAGGAAATAATTCCACTTATTTAGACGCGTCTCTCATTGCCAGCACATCTGTAACTCTGTGTGTGCCTGATCATGTCCTTTACTTGCATAGTGGTCAAACCAGTTAATCTTTTAAAGAGAAAATTATGCCCATTTCCAGCTCCCTTTAAAAAAAGAAAACTAAATTTCATGGAGTCTACTGGCCTATCCCAATTATTTTTCCCAGTTCCCCCATTCCCACTCCCTCAAATGCATCTTATTTCTGATTGGTTGCCCCTTGCTGACAGAAGATTTGACCCACCGAGTGGGAGGGGCTTTTGTACCTATAACCTGAGCTCGGTGCCTGTGGTGGTGGTGGTGATGATGATGATCTCTCTTTGAAATCAGACCACAGAGCCAGGATGATAAAAAGTAAAAAGACTGTTGAAATGGAGCATTTAAAGCAGTTTGAAGCCTGAGCTTTCTGGCTCTCAGGAGTTTGTACTCAAGCTGACCTCATTATTTGAAAGCTTGACCAACAATAATATTGGTGTAACAATGTACACCAGTCAGGTACAATGTTATGACCATTGAATAAGATTGTGTTGGTCCTCTTTTAGTTGCCAAAAAAAACCAGACCTACCCATCGAAGCATGGACTCAACTCAACCCCTGAAGGTGTGCTGTGGTATCTGGCACCAAGATGTTGGCAACAGATCCTTTAAGTCCTGCAAATTTTGAGGTGCTGCCTCCATGGATTGGACTTGTTTGTTCAGAACATCCTACAGATGCTCAATTGGAACGAGATCTGGAGAATTTGGAGGTCAAGTCAACCCTTAAAATTGCTATTGCTTTCCTCAAACCACTCCTGAACCATTCGTACTTTTTGGCCTGGTCCATTATCCTGCTGAAAGAGGCCACGGACATGAGGAAATACGGTTTCCATGAAAGGGTGTTCATGTTCATGAAACAATTTGGGTAAATGGGTAAACTAACAGCCACCTGGAGGACTCGAGGTTTCCCAGCACAACATGGCTTTCCATAGGTCATCCTGGTCTCAGGTGTTCCCCAGGTAACCAATGCCCACAAATACCCAGCCATCCAGGCCGCCTTCTCTCATCATTCCAGTTCTGATGCTCACATACCCATTGTTGGTGCTTATGGTCGTGGGAAGGGGTCAGCATGGATACCCTGACTGGTCTGCAGCTATGCAGAACCATACACAACAAACTCCATCTAACGCTGGTTCTGTTAGAACCAGTGTTAGATGGAGATAAAGAGAGATAATCATTGTTACTCACTTCACCGGTCAGTGCTCATTTTCTGTCTTACAAACAACAATCAGGCATAACATTGTAAGGAAAACTATAATAGGACCTTGTAATGTTCTCAGTACTTGCAGTACAGCCGTAGCAATCGCTGTCAGTCATAACATGGGCTAGTTTTTACGCTAAGTTTGTGTAGTGTTTACCTACAAAAACTTGTATACCTATACCTGTTATTATTTCCCTCTTTACCCTCAGTCTCGTGACACCATTCCCATTCAGTTAGCTTGAAATAACAAATAGTATCACAGTGAGACTAAAGCTGTTTTTTTACACAGGAACTACAAAAGATGTCGGAAGAATTGGGTCAGGATATTGTCTGAAGTTTTCTTTTGTAGATGTAGCCCACAGCTGGAGATCATTTACAGTGGGGCAAAAAAGTATTTAGTCAGCCACCGATTGTGCAAGTTCCCCCACTTAAAATGATGACAGAGGTCAGTAATTTGCACCAGAGGTACACTT